AGGTCTTGGAGTCTCCTCTAAACCGGTGAATGGTATTTGATCAAGGAACTGGTACCCCCAATAGTTGAGAGAATTCTTCTATTGTGGGAACTAGCTGATAATCAGGAAAGGTGAAACAATGATGTAGATGGTCAAAGAACTGAAAGAGCACCCTAATCATGTCTTCATCTAAGATTAAGGTAGCCAGATTGAGAAGTCGGCCATATCTTTTGGTGAACGGAGAATTTTCAGGATCCCATGATGCTAACTCTTTGAGTAGAGGATACACACTTATGAAGTTTATTCTGATGGTATTTCTACGAGTGGAAGCCATATCCTACAAAACAGAACAAATATAAATCCATAGATCCTTGAAATGGTTAGTGAAAATGCTATGGCATGATATCATGATGTTTATGAACACACAAACAAAGCACACAAGGCCTTATGTTTAGGCTTGCACGGGGTTTATAGGTAAGTACCCTCTTGAAGTTTTAGTTGGTTCAACCTGTCCTAAAAGAAAGTAATCGGGTTCTAAGGAATCTCAATATCACCGATCTTTCTTCATCGGGAATTCTTTCAGCACAAGCTTCTTTATTAGAGACCAAAATATCCCGAAAGTCCGATCTCAATGAGTGTAGTATCGAGTATCAACCAACTTTAGTCTTGCACCAAAGCCAGCTATCTCACTACTTTCTAATGGCCAAGTTGTTTAACTAAGGTTCTATGGTCAGTTAGTGCTTCATGGCACCATGCAGCGACCCCGTATTCTCCTTGACTGGACTCAAGGAACACCGGTACCAACAAATGTGTCACACTAACTTATCCATCTCTTCAACCGTGTCACTATTACGCCGCATAGTCCCCACGATCTATTTCTACTTACCTATTATTCCCTAGATCCCGGTAAAGGATCTTTACAAGTAATAAACCCAAGCATTACCCACAAAATGTAAAGCATACAAGACAAACAAAATAAAGCAAATAAATGTGATTTAGCTCTTAAGGTAACCCCACTTTTAGTCGTTTCCTCAGCAGAGTCGCCAGTTCTGTGATACGGTGGGAGAAGTGACTTGGTATTTTGCATTTTATTGCAAATGTTGCGGATAGCAAGAGTCGCCATCGACTTTTCTTTTATCCAATAAAGGAAAGGGTGAAAATAACATGACATACCTTTTGATAATTTTCTTGAATTCGGGGGGTAGGTTATGAAAAGGGAAGGTGTTAGCACCCTTTTATTATGTACTTATCTACGGGCTCTTAATTGCTATCTCACTTTGAAATGCTTTGTGAATGTGTTTTTTTGTAAAATATTTTAAAAAGTGCCATCATTGGGCAAACATTGTTAATGATTCTCGTCTCTATAAGAATGTATACAAAGTGTTGACTTTGAAAATATTTCAAGAAAGTGTTGGTCTGTTGAAAGATGCTTGTTTTGAAGTGTGAAACAATCGGCCGAACCGTCATCTGATATAATATGAAATATCAATGAAGTCTCCACCGAACGTCTTTTATCCCGCCGAAAGGGAAAGGTAAACATCGAGAAAACATGAAGTGGGTGAAATCACGGTCTTGAGACCGATAGATCGTGTAAGGGAGTCTGTTACTTGAGGGGAAGGTATTAGCACCCCACACGCCCGTAGTATTCTATGGTATCTACTCTTGTTGTCTAATCTAATGGGTGTGTAAAAATCTATATCTAAGATGTACATGGAATGCATGCAAAAGAAAGGAGAAAAGAATGTAGGGAAAACAAAAGTTGTGCTCGCTTGGACCCTACCCCGATGCCTACATATCCCTTTTAAGGAATCAGAGTAGCCGTAGTTCAACTCACATGTTTTGTTTGTTTTGTGTTTTTTATGGACGATGTTAATTCTGCCTTCTGCCGCAAGTCGACCTTTGGAGACTCACGCGTTGGCACAAATGTAAACTAACCATGTCCTTACCTGAAAAGGGTTTTAGAGAAAAGGTTCTTGGGCGCACAAAAAGGATTGAGTTGGTTTGTATTTTGTTACCTTGAAGAAGGATTTAAGTTTATTAGAGATATTTTATGATTTGTCAAGAAGAAGTTTTTGTTTTAAGATGCAATATGCAAATAAAAGAGAACAACTAAGGGAGACTATCCTAATCTCTAACCCTAATGTTATCATAAAATGATTGATCCTAAAGTTGAGTTTTGAGGGGAAATCTCTACCCTATGTTGACATGCTTGGATAACCATCCTAATGTCTATCTCAAATCATCATTTGTAGATGAATCAAGAGGTCCTAAAGGAGCATAGCAAGGGTCTAAAGCCAATAAGCTCAAGAGAGCACACCTAGAGGGATCCTATCTAGGCTATCATGCCAAAGAAAGTCTAACAAAAACTATCCTATAGGGAACATGCAATGAAAGCGAAGTCGTGATCTCAATTTCTAAACTGAGTGACTCATCGGTCAACAAGAAATAAAGTAAAGCAATGAAATCCTATAGGGATCATGCACTGAGAGCGAAGTCATGATCTCAATTTCTAAATTGAGTGACTCATCGATCAACAACATGGGAAACAAACACAAGCATAATACATATAGCAAATGAAGTGTGGAATGCCTGCTACAGGTCTTTAAACAGCGGCTTCGAGTGCACGCTCTTTATTTCCTACTTCTCATGATATATAAAAAAAGTAAAATACTGAAATGAGATAAAAAAGGGTAAATAACAAACGAATATCAATTTGTAGCAAAGCCTATCGAAATAAAGAAACCCGACAATCTTCACGAAAGCTTCACCAATCAAAGAAAATAGTTAGAAGTCAAATGCTCAGAATAAGCATCGACACATCATCGATGTGAAAATAAATCATAATCGAAATCTCCAGCGCATCCACATATCATGCAATAAACCTACATAAGATTCACATCTCAACAAGAAAAGGTGAATTGCCAATCTCAAATATAATCGGATAATCGATATTTAATTCCTAAAATCAAAATATAAAAAACTAACAAATTTTCATATTTTATTTTATTATTGTTTATTATGTAAAAAAGTTTAAACTATTCTAAACAATTTACAAAATTATTTGAAAGAAAACATTAAAACTAAATTGTTATCAAAATTATTTAAAAGAAATTGAAAAAAATAATAAACAACAAAATAAGGTCCATGGGGTGCCAACTAAATGCAAGGTTGGCATGCTAAAGTAGCCGGGGCGCTGCAGGCCCATCTGAATAAAGTCCAAATTAGCTTTTTTGTTACAAAAAATCAGGCTGCCAAAAAAATTATTGAGCTTTGAGAGGTGCAATCTGGAATTCTATGGTTTTTTGGAAGAGGCGCTAGGCCCAAAGCTAAGTCCATTGGCATATTTTTGCATCGTAAATCCCAACATCCAAAAAAAAAAGAAACGAGCATAAGGAGAAATGGTGTTCAGGCCACCTGAGTCCAATAGATCAACACTACATTAATTAAAATTTATCACTACATTCAAATATTACCTATTATTAAACTTGAAATGACAAATAAATTAACAGCGTGAGCTTGAACAGTGTCGTTTGGTAGCTAATAGGGTTTACACGTGACTCTTCAACTTGTATGATGGACAAAGAAGTCCTCTTCATCACAAGCTACAGAGGCGAGGTCACTTCCCTCTTTTTGTGATTAACACTCGCCGGCGTCGCACCATCATATATCTCTGTCTTAGATCATTTCATCCACTTTGTTCCTTCCGAAATTCCGTCGCGGATCTGTTTTCACTCAACCTCGTCCTCATCGAATTCACGACTCTGATTTCAACCTTCACGAGTGTCCCGTGATCTTTGTTCGCCTCTACTTTGCCTCACCTTTGATTTCATCTTCATCTTCTTTGCGTATTTCTGCACTAACCTTTACCGCGACGATCTATTCATCTCAACACTTATGATTTTGTTTCTCTCCGCTTCCAGATCAGACAAATAGAATAAGAATCCCTAGGAATTTGGAGCAAAATTGAAGACTAACCACAATGATTCTAAGCTTGATGCGTTATGGAAATCACACATAAGAACACGCGAAGAGATAACAGAACAAATACGAAATCATGGGGGAGAGATGCTTACTGACTGAAGTTCGTTCGGTGCATCTTCAACAACATTGCGTCAGCGGGAAATTTAGAGAATAATCTTCAGGTAATCACTTATTGTTACCTTTTATGAATATTCTTCCGAAAACTCTTTCTTCAATTTAATTTATTTCCTCTGCATTTTGGTATTGAATCGTTGTGATGTTGTGGAAGATCTGAAGGATGCTGAAGATGCTGATCAAAGTGATGATGTTGATGAAACAAATGAAGATGATGAATCGGTGTAGAGATGAAGATGAAGAAATTTATGTCTACATTGATGGGATTGAAGGCGAAGAGTGATGATGATTGGAGATGACGACTGCAGAAGGTTAAAGAAGACGATGAAGAATTGAAGGTTGAATTGATAAAGTTGCAGAGATAGTGCAAAATTGTGAGAGGAGTTTTATGTGATATTTTTGGTGATTCTTATGGAATTTTTAGAATGAATGTGATGGTGATGAAGAGTGAACATTGGAAGAGAAAGAAGACAGAAATTTGGAGCGTGATTTCTGGTATTTTTCTGTGATTCTTCCAAGAGATTGAAGAATGAATGAGATTGAAAGATAAAGTTTGTTATATAGCAGCAAGAAGTTTGTTACAAGTAATTCCATCTAAGCCTTTGATTTCAAAAATCTGTTATAACAAATGAATGAGTGAGATTGAATCTCATTTCTCATCTCAAATTCTGTTATAAATCTTGTTGGAGAAGTTTGAGATACGTTGAGCTGTACTGAGTCACGATTTTCCCTTCCTTTGCATATTTTTCCTTTTGTCTTTATTCAAAATGATGAGCTGGCAATTAGAGTGGACAATTCTGTTATGACATTTCACGGTTTACACCTCTTCCTCTAATTTCCTAATACTGTTTTTTTCCTGATTTTTCATTCTACTTGAACTGGTGCAGAGTAGATACAACTGGATTTTTTGTTACTTTTCTATATCACTAATTTCCTTTTGGTTTTTTTTCTGCATTATTTTCTAGGATGGGTTTTGTAAGCTGGAAACTTCTTGTTTCTGAACTGGTTGCTGATTTGATAAAAAAAGAACGGCGAGGATGATGAGGTAGCGATGAATGATTTGTGAATTTTCCAGTCGATCGAGTGCTCTCTCGGTAATATCTTTTTGACTTTTTGAAAGCTTCTTTTCCTCTTCTCTTTCTATGTATTCTGAAGGGTTTTTGAGTGAGGGAAAATGATGATACCAAAATTAGGGCCATGGTTTTAAGCTGATAACAGGCCTGCTGATTCTATTTTGGGCTTTGGAAACTTTTAGGATATGATGTTGATTCTGAACGTGTTATTTGCTTTACAATTTCAGACTTGTAATGTCCTGCTTGTTTGGGCTAGAACTCGTAATTATGATTTGCTGGACTGTGATTCTGATTTTTACTTGCTGAGAACTTTTTGTGGATCTGAGTTTTGATAATAGGATGTAAAATTGTTTTGTATTTGTCTTGGGCTTTTTAGCAATCTGATATCCTTTTACATTTTCTGATTTCTAGACTTTGATGTTGTTGGCCATATTACTGATATGTGCATCTGTTGTTGGGCTAGAATTTGTGATTTTGGGCTTCATTTTGTTACTGCAATGTTATGATGAGCCTTTTGACTGGGTTTTCAATAACTTGCTTCTTTAACTTCCTTTTGTGAACCAAAACTAGCTTTTGTGATTTGCAATAGAGGAGATAGGCCTATGATTATGTGCTGAAATTCTAACTTTATGAGGCTTTAATGTATGCTTGAATCATGATTGATAAACACCCTTAATTCTATGATTCCAAACTCAAAGCCCTAATGATGAAACTTGAATGGAAAACTCCTTGAAAACTCTTTTACTTGTGTTCATGTTCGATTTTCTTTGCTAATTGTGTCTATTTCTTATTTCTTTTCATGTAAGCTTGAGAATGGTGATGAGGGAAGATGAAGAAGATGGAATGGAGCTTGACATGAAGGAAATTAAGACCAAGAGCTTAAAGAAAAGACCTTAGTTCATGGCTTCGCAAGTATTTTAGGACCATTGTGTAATTTTCCTCAAATTGATGTAATAATCTTATCAATTTGATAAATTTTGAATGTCTTTTTAAACTTTGAGAAATTTGAAAATCCTTGTATTTTGAAGCTTGGTCATAGGAATTGAATGAATGGGTGATGAATATAACTTGAATGGAATGTTTGAATAAGCTTTATGTCAAAACTATTTTAATTCCAAATTCAAAGAACCTAGAAAAATAGCTAAAACCATGAATAAAATTTGCAACGTTGCCTTAGAAACTTCAAATTTAAAGTGTGTGAAAACCATGCTTTATTGTTAAACTTGAAACCTTAATGATTAAGTTCCAAGAAACTTGCATTTTTTACAATAATTCCAACTCCATTCAAATCTAATCCACACCAACCTTGCATGATGAACAAACACGATGATACTTTCACCAATCCTGATCCAAGAATGAACCAGGTACTTCCCTTGATTGAAATGGGATCCTCAATGCCTTCAAAAATCCTTGAGAAGTAATGAGAAATAAATTCTACTTCAACCTTGGTAATTTGGAGAAGTAAAACCCTAAGCTCGATGAGAAGAGATCTCTAGGATAAAAACCCTAACCTTGTTGATCCTTCGAATCAAAATGTATGGTGTATTAGGATAAGACTTATGATGCCACTGTTTTAAGAATTTTTCGAAGGGAAAATCATTCATTCCAATAATAAAAACCCTAACCATTTCCAAATCTATGATGAAACAGATAGTCAACTTAAGATGTCATGAGGCCTGAGGCCGGTAGCCTGAATGATCAAAATAATGAGGGGATGAAATCCATCTTGGACTGTCTGACAATACAACCAAATGCCATATCTTGGAGAAAACCATGAAGACCATAAACCTTGATCCCATCTTAAAATGTATGAATATGTATGACGAAACATAAGCCACAAAAGTAAAATGAAGAGGGGAAATTTTGGGGTGCAACAGCTGCCCCTATTTAATCATCTTAAACATGATAAGTGAGAAAACGCGACAGCTTTCGAACTTTCAAGGTGGAAAAGGATTGAATACTAAAAGAACCCAAAAATTTGCACTCTGAATAAAAATAGAAACACAGAAACACTGGTAACTATATATTGTAAGGATGGCACCAAACACGAGAAAATAGTGATGATATAATCGGGGAGCACGAGCCAGGGCAAGATTAGAACACATATATTAACTATTAACTATGAGATAAAAACTCAAACTAGGAAGACTAGATTTCAAAAGGAAAGTGTCACGACAAAACTGGAATTCAAATCACAAAATTTAGACGAAACCCAACCCGGGACGACTAGATGATACTAGTTTTTAGAAAGATGCGCCAGGACAAAATAGGAGCATGAATTACAAAAACGAGATAAAACTCAAACCAAACAGAGAATAGGCAAAACTAAACTCTGGAAAAAGAAAAGTACGTGGGGCAAAGTGGCTAGAGTGCGTGATTCTAGGAACACCTGCTAATCTCAACCTAAGATAGACAATTTGAAGGAACTGAAAGAATTCCAAGAATGAGGAACAAAACGAGACGAAACTCGACCCAAAAACTAGTTAGACGAAAATAAACTAGATGAGTACCAAGACGGAACTAGATTTCACGCACGGGTAACAAGGCGAAACTCGACCCATAGCAAAAGTGGTGAGAGTGCATGTTTCTCATAGAACCTGCTGGTCTCAGATCAATGGATAACAGTAACAAAAACAGATGGAAGAATCCAAGGAACAAAAGAGTCTGATTTCAACCAGGGACACAATACAAACACTACAAAGAGACTCGATAAATGAAAACCGTGAAAGGGTCCAAGGTATGAAAACAAAACGAGACGAAACTAGGCTCAATAACTAGTTAGGCGAAACTAAACTAGATAAGTACTAGGATGAAACTGGATTTCATGCACAGGCGATAAGATCGAAACTCGACCCAAAGCAAAGTGATGAGAGCACATGTTTCTCTGAGCACCTGCTGGTCTCAGATCAATGGATAACATTGACGAAAACTGATAGAAGAATCCAAGGAACAAAAGAGACTGATTTCAACCAGGGGCGGAGCACGAACACTGCAAAGAGACTCGGTAAATGAAAACCGTCAAAGGGTCTAAGGTATGAAAACAAAAAAGAGACGAAAATCGACTCAATAACTAGTTAGGCGAAACTAAACTAGATGAGTACCAGGACGAAACTGGATTTCATGCGCGGGTGAGGAGACGAAACTCAGAGCTCGACCCAAAGCAAGGTGATTAGGGCGTAAAACTAGAAACCTGCTGAAAGTGAATACTAGGGAGAAATCAGTATTGAAAAGGTACATCAATAGACATTGAAATGAACTGACGAGGGTAGTAAAGACCCGAGAAGTCTGTGCCAGGGCAAAACTGAACTACAATCAAGAGTGGACACTCAACCAATCAAATGATTAACATCAAAGGGATACTTGTATGTGGTGAAGCTGAGATAGTGAGGGTGAAGACCTTGCTGGGGATATAATCTGAAGAATTAAAAAAAAATCACAGGGGAAAATAGAAGTAGTGAGGGCTTATGTTCCGATGCATGTTTGAATTTTTTTTAATATAGCGTAATGCTCCATATAATGGAAATGCTACGAGTTTTGGTAGATGTAATGTAATGATGCATGTTTAAGTGTTTTACTGTGGAATGGCCAAACGAGAATCCAACAACCAAGAAGTCAGAATCTGCCTATCTTGCAAAAATAAATTGCAAAATTCATTGGAGAAGAGAAAATACGAGGAACTGCTGGAGAGGATCCCTTGGAGAGATGAAACTCCGAGGGGAGTAATAATTGAGTAACCAGTAGAAATAGGCCACAGACGCTGAGAGGAGTTGCAAAAATAAATTGCGAACTCTGTTGGAGAAGATCAGGGTAAAACTATAAATCTCTAGAAAATACAACGTGTCGTCGCATTGAGGATGATACCAAGATAACAAACCAGATGTGGGAATTAAAGCCCTCACTGATGAAACTTCTGACGAAAAAGTCCTCTGCTGTTTGCCAAAGATTAACAAAATCTCAATTAATCGTCTGTCAACTACTACACTGAGAATAAGGAAAGATCCCTAAATAAGGATGCCCTAAGAAACCAATTAGTTGGGGAATGAGAGATCAGGATGAAGAGTCTCTGATTGGAAACTCCGCTAGGGAATTGAAATTTCTTCAGACCGTGAATTCTCATCTCAGCAACTTCGTTGGGAACATGAGAGGTCTTCAAACTTGAAGTCTCAGAACGAAGCCTTTCTCTTGAAAAATATTTCTGGGCAACAAAACTCTGTTGAGGAAATAAAACTCAACTGAGGATACAAAGCTCTGTCGGGGAGCGTTTTGTTGGGGATTCCCGAACCTTTGGTATGAAACCATAAAATAGACTATAAAGATAGTCAAACAGTATCAACTTTATTAGGGATATGGAAATCTCAGCTAACATCAACCTTACTGAGGATGAAAAAAGATTCTTCGGATAAAGAAATGTCTCGAGTCACGACTTAGATGGAAAATGAGAATTTGTGAATGCAAACTTCAATGATAATTCAAGCTGGAAAGTAAACTCAACTAGGAATAGTCTTTATTAATAAATGAGATGATGCTCATCAAGACTTGGTTGGGGAATGAAGGTATCCAAAAACCTTATCTGCCTCAAAAATCCCTCACATGACAATGTTGAGGAGACCTAACTCTACGGGGAATTCCTTGTTCCAGAGTTCAAAAGTTAGAGGTGAGACTCTTGCATAGGTTCTAACAAGCTGCAACTTACAGAGTGAACGACAATTCCTAGAGAGGACTTCATGGGATTCGTACCATCATTGATATGCTGCCCCAGGGTAATGGAACTTTAAGAGATCGATCCTCAACTTGATAGCCCCAGATTGGCGAAATGAAAAGACCAATAACCACAGGCCAAACCCTGATAAGACTTGCAAAAAACATCGCAAATTCAGCTAGAGAATATCAGATCAAACTGTAACATCTGCGAGGCAACGCCAAATGGATACTTGAAGTTGCTAGAGAGAGCATTAATAAAATGAGGTTTGTGGGTAATCAAAATTCACCTGACTTTTTTTTGATAACTTGTCAATTTCTCATTGGGGATAACTTTTTGAGGAGGATACTGCAAAAATAAATTGCAGTGCAGAAGAAATCTTGACCTATGTTCCATCTCTTAACCTTTTGGGGAAAAGATCCAATAT